GGGGGGGGGGGGGGGGGGGGGGGGGAATCCCCTGATTTTAATCTGAAGCTCAGGGGAAACGACTCCTCCGCAAGCAGGATCTTCCAAAGAGATAAGACTTAAAGGTAAAATTCCAGTTAACCCCGTTCGTTCCCCCCCGCACCTTCGCGCGAGTCTTCGTTATCCTTGTGAGACGCATTGGAAATACTCAGTTCATTTAACACTCAGTTCCCCGTATCGCTCGGTGGCCGTCACGACCGCAAGTCAGTCTCGGTTCGTGTCGGTTCGGCTCTTTCTCACAGATGCTCTTTGCGTCGTGATGCGACTTGGTTCCTTCGACGTTGGGTTAAGCTCATCTCAGGGTCTGTGAACATTCGACTCGGAGCGGTCTAGTGTAAAAGTGCATTCGGAATTCTGAGACTAATGATCGGACCGACGAGCCGTGAGATTAGAAATAAATGTTGCCGACACCTAATATATGAGGTGACAAGAACACCAATATTCTTGAAATTAGAGGTTAGTCTGGGGTAAGGGATATTCTGCAGGTGTCAAAAGGTAATTGTTGGGTAAAAGAGCGGTAAATTGGGGTAGAGGTAAAACGCTGAGGTAAAATATAGGTAAAAGAGCGGTAAATGAGAGGGGAACGGTAAAATTCGGGCGGTGAAGCTAAGGTAAAAAGACGATGAAATTATCCTTTTTTTTTTTACCTCAGTTTCCCCGTCCGAATTTTACCTCAGGTAAACAATTTGTTGTAAGGGCGATGATCATCCCATTTAGTAGTAATCCCGGTTGTAATGACAGGGTTTTAAAACCCAAAAAGACTCACGGAATCCTATAGGTCTGGAGTTCTATAGGACTCTATAGCCATCCTATAGGTTTTTCGTGCTTCGAAAAGCAATGAGAAAAATCTATAGGTTGAGTTCTATAGGATTTCTATAGGACTTCATCGTAAGAGAAGGCACACGCACGTGCGTCTTTGCAATTGGCGTGATACCGCGTTCGCACGTGGATGACATACGAGATATTCCTTCTTTATGACGCCCAATGTCGCAAGCAGTCCATCTTTATCGTGTTGATAGGGTCGGATTCGAGCGACGAGAGACTCCTGTCTCGGATCATTTCTAGGACGCAAGCAGGTCGACCGCTGCTAAGACTTTGTATCGAACAATACCCATCATGGCCGTGTCGAAAGTGACGGTAATCGTGCTGGTCGTCTTGTCCCTCTGCGCCATCGTGGCCACGGGACTTCTGGTCTATTTCTTCGCCGGTCGCTACGGCGACGACGATCCCGTCGACGTCACCAACACCACCCCCACCCCCCCGACCACCACCCCGCCCTCCGAAGTGACCGATGTCCGACTCCCCGTGCACCTCCATCCCACTTTATACAATATCAAGGTCAGTGGCGAAATTCCCGTTCAACAAGTAAAACTGAAGAGAAATTATTAATATTAAAATTAAGTGATGAAGGAAATAGGAGACCCTCCGACACGGAAAAGTTGAAAACAAAGAGAAATAATTTTAGTCGTGGGAATCTGCGATGTTCCGCGCAAGAGAATATTGGCAAGGCATTCGCTTGTTTAAAAACTTGCCGATTTGCGAATAGTTATTAGTCACGAGTTAGTGACCTTTCACGATTCATTGGGGAATGACGTCAGACCGTCGACTCGTCGAAACGCACAAACGCTGCAGGGAAAACAGGGCAATCACGCCATAAGGTGACGAATCGGAGGAGGCACCTGCGGCGGAGGTACCCGTGCGACCCTCCTCATCCAGACCAGACCATTCTCGGTCGTTTGAATGCCTTGCATTGCCGATGAAGACGAGCTGCATGGGGAAGTCCATCACGATAGGGCTGGTGAAAGGGTTGGCATCGATGGGTCACATTTTGGGAAGCATTTCTGGGGTTGCGGTTCGTGGGAATGATGCCTGGATGAATGCTGTGCACATGATTTAAGACTTACATATTCATGATAAAAATCCTGATGCGCGGAGATCCAAAAAGAGAAAACGCTACCCCTCTCAAAATCTGTGGACGATAACATGCACAGCTTCATATATGCGTCAACTGCAAATGAACCGGTTTCTGGCAGCTTGTGAATGTGTCTCTTGACGATAGGACTGCACTATTTTCGTCTCTCACCAGGGCATACTTCCAAAACCCTCGCCCCTCCCCATCCTTCCGGAAAAGAGCAGCATTTAAAGGGAGCGGACGGAGAGGGCGCTTCAGGCGGACCGACCTCTCTCCCGCCGATGCGTTTCCTTGGCCAAAATTGGAATTCGAGTTGCGGTCGGTCATCGCACCTTGCCGAAAGGGCTGGAGAAAAATGGACAAGGATTGTAGGACGTGTATCGAATGCTTTGAAGACGTTTCATGGGAAACAAATTTCCGCATTCTATCTGCTATCTCATGAACTGCGAAGAATCTCTGAGAGATTCGCGTTTTTTTCTTGGATTATCCGGTATCTAAGCAGTAAAAAGACTGGATGCCATAAATCTGTTAATTTGGACACAATCTCGAATTAGTCATACTGTGCGTGTATTCACTATAAATTGATTTATTTTTCCTTCGCTCTTTTTACATGAACTCAGTGCATATAGCGAAATCGCAATTTGTGAGTTTATGTCCGCGAACGTTCGAACTGCGCGCCATTAAGTTGCTTACATTCCGTCACGAAAGCCCGATTGAACATTGCTTAGCATTTCCAATTTAAAAAAAATTGGCACACTTTACACGAATCGATCGAAAACTTTTCCAACCATTCGCATTTCCTTGTGCTCGTTCCTTGTCTCGTGCTTCACCGAAAATAGAGGAACGCACAGTAATTGCTGTAAAAGTAAAAGTAAAAAGTCCTGACATTTGTCTGAATGTGACTTATAGAATTCGTTTTATTTATTAGCCGCCAGTAACAGTGAAACACTGGAATTAATTTCTTGCAAAAGCCATTCTAGAGGTTGTCAAAACATTTGAACTCACATGGAATATTTCTCCCTTCGGCAGATCCTGGCAAAATTCGACCAGGAGAACGACTACCCCCTCCACGGCGAGGCGACCATCGACCTCGCCTGCGACAGCCCGGGCAGCAACGTCACCCTCCACGCGAAAAACCTGAACGTCACCAGCGCCACCGTCACGACGGCGGAAGGAACCGAGCTGGCCGTCTCGGACCGGACCTACGACCCGGAGCGGGACTTCTTCATCGCGATGCTGGACGAGGACCTGGAGGCGGGAAAGACCTACCGGATCCGCATGGAATACCGAGGGAGGCTGCAGCGCGATCTCGTCGGTTACTACCTCAGCCAATACGACGAGGGCGACTCGACCCGGTTAGTCCGTCATGACATCATCAAACCTCTCTGTTTGCCAACCCAACGAGTTCTCTCTCATTTGCATATTCACCTCGCATTAAAACGTGAAAGTAACTGCCCCACTTTAACTGCAAGCGAATTCATTACATTTTCACTAGCAATTAAAATCGTAGTCATTTTGCGGTGTTGATCCTTCGTTTCCCTTTTGCCAGTTGTTGGTCTCTCCTCGATTTCCCTTCCTCTGCACTCGGGGCGGTAGACCCATTAATCATTTTCCAATTGTTGATTATGATGATTAAAATTACCCACCTTTCGCATGTCTAGGTGCTAATAGTCGCTTCCACCAAAGGAATCCAGCTCTCCGCCGCTCCGTCTCGTCTGCATTTATTTTGCCCGATCCACGACACGGCTTTTAGGAAAATTGAGCGATTTTTTTAAATCCTTCATGTTCTATGAAGCAAGTTTGCGTTGCCAGTCTCGCGCACTATTCTCATCGACATAACAAATGTAAACGCAAATGAAACCTAAAAATTAAATTTATGAAGATCATGAACATGATTTCTTCCTAATCGGTGGATTGGGGCAACCAATCGGTCGATTCACGACCTAGGCCTGTAAAGAAGCAGACTTCCAAGTTCTGATGCTCTGTTTGTCCAGGCCCTCCTCGAGGACGACTCGGACGACACTCGAGAATATAAACCAGTATTGATATTCTTACGCCGGCGTGCATGCGTTTCCCTGTGTTTAGCACATCAGCACGACAAACGGTTACGAACCGCATTTTTTTTCCCATCCAGGAACTTGGCAGTCACGAAGTTCCAGCCCACAGACGCCCGGAAGGCATTCCCCTGCTTCGACGAGCCGGATTTCAAGGCCAACTTCAGCGTATCCCTCGGTCGACCCAACGGCACCAATTGGGTCGCCCTCTCCAACATGAACTCCACAGGGATTACGGGGGAGTAAGGCGTTCGTTCGCTACGCATTCGACTGCGCAATATGCGCTGAACGCGAATATTGGGTGGAATATGCTTTCAACGCGCATATTGGATGGAGTGTGCGCTCAAAGCGCATTTTTTAATTATCGACCAATTTTCTCAACATATAATCTTGAGAAAGGAGAGGATCTCGTTTGTTTTGCATGGCAATTGCTCTGGTTTTTTTTAAACTCGAATTACATCCATCCGCTGCATAGGGATCGAGAAACTTGGCTTACTTTACGGGGAGATTTATTTGTTATCGTTCCGCAAAATGCCGTCAAATCGATCGCACGAATCGCGAGTGAAATGCCATCGTGTTTTGCAGGTGGAGCAGCAACCTGGCAGAGTCTTTCAAAAATCGTTTTCATTCTCTCATTCTCTCAGTCAGGGACTGACGACCTGAGCAGTCGACATTTCGACCTGAGCGATCGGCGAATGCCTACTCCTCAGGTCGCACATGCATCGCACGTCCCGAAACTCTTCAACCCGAGGCCGAAAAAATATTGATTGCCCTCGACATTCCTGATTGCCCTCCTCATCCCTGATTCCCCTCGACATTCCTGATTGCCTTCCATAACATCGTCTCGATTTTGCAGCACGTCGGAGCCGGGCTACGTGTGGGAGTCGTTCGAGACGTCGGTGCCGATGAGCACCTACCTGGTGGCGTTCGCCGTCTCAGAGTTCGCGGCCGACGGCGCGAACGTCAGCCTCGCGGAGGGCGAGATCCCCTTCAAGGTGAGTGGATCGAGAATTTCGACGCGTCGAGTAACGCGGCGAAACGCGTTACTCCGCGAGGCGATATTGCACGAAATTGAGGGTTTTCGGGAAGATTCAGCGCATTAAATTTTAAAGTATGGCAAGGAAAAATAACAATTGGTCACACTAGTCATTTAATATAAATTTGACCGTCACCACCCTGTCCCTTGCCGATCTCTTTCCTAATGGTTTCGCAAATTTCGCATCGCATAACTCATGCGAAATTCACCCGGAGAACTCAGATTTTAAAAAGCGAGATTCGTGGCAGGTTTGGGCCCGCCCGGAGATGATCGAATTCACTCAGAAGGCCATGGAACACGGGCCGGCCATCCTCAAGTACTTCGAGGAGTACTTCGACATCCCCTACCCGCTGCCCAAGATGGACATGATCGCCCTGCCGGACTTCGCCTCCGGCGCCATGGAGAACTGGGGGCTCGTCACGTACAGGTACTTTAGTACTTCGGCTCGTGGACGGAGCGATGCAACCGTTTATTCTCCGGCCGCCGGATATCCGTTACTCGGCTCGAAATTACTGGCTGTAATTCGTGATAGCGGCGTTAATCGTCCGCACTGCTGGCTGATAGTCGAATTCTCTGGAACGTTGCACTTTTCAGGCCTGTATAGTGTTGCGGTGAATATGAACATTTGGCGAAGAATACCAACACTTGTTTTCATCTTGCAGCTGCATTTGTAAACGCCCCGGTTTCTGGCCGGTCTCCATTTGTTGGCCAGTGAGGCTGAAATCCAGTATAATTAGTTAATCTGGCCGTTTTCAAGCATTCCATCAACATCTTCCCGACGAGGACCTATTACTAGTATTTCCAGGTGTGCGCACAGGGTGTCCAATTCCTATGGGAGGAAGTATCAGCGTGGTCAGAAACTGGGGCTTAAGTGGTCAGAAACTGGGGCTTAAGTGGCCAAAAACTGGGGTATTAACCCTATATTTATTACTTTTCCCTATTTCGACAGGGAGGAATACCTCCTGTACCAATGGAACCAGACGTCGGCGGCGACCCTGACGAGAATCGTCTACATAATCGCCCACGAGTTGGCCCACATGTGGTTCGGCGACCTCGTGACCCCCGTCTGGTGGAATGACCTCTGGCTCAACGAGGGATTCGCCTCCTACGTCATGTACCTCGGCTCCGAACGCGTTCGCTCCCGTTTTCGCTCTTCTGCGTCTCGCATTTCCGCGTAGCATTCCGAAGGGCGGGAAATTTTAGTCCGATGGATCGTTCGCTACGTTTTCGGTTCATCGAATGATGAACCGAGCATTAATATATCTGACTTCATCATGAACTTATAAAGTGGAAAAAAATGATGTAAGCACTTGAAGGGCTAGTCACAATTGCATCGATTGAAATAATAATATAATCTCGTTTCTAAAAAAAAAGAGGAATGAGGTATTTTAATGCATGAATGAATTAAACATCCGGCAGAACTCGCATATCATTCCGCCATCGGAATTTACAGGAACGGTGAGACCGAGGAATCGAGCCGAATCAACACTAATTTGCATAAAAGTCGCTCTCGCGCTTTCGCAGGTGGAGCCGAACTGGTCGTGGATGGACCAGTTCGTGTTCAGCGACCTGCAGGACGTCCTCTACCTGGATTCCCTGGAGAATTCCCATTCCATCTCCGTCGAGGTGAACAACCCGAACCAGATCTCCCAGATCTTCGACCGTATCTCGTATGCCAAAGGTACGATTTAAAAAAAAATGTCGCAGGTTCCTTCCAGGTGCGGAGAATATTAACGTTATCATCGTTTTTGACGTTGCTGCGATCTGCCCTTGTTTCACGAAGACATTCGGGTAAAATCTGTACTAACGTTATTTGAGGGATGTATTATTGGTTCAAGCTGTAGTTGTAGTATATAGTCCTCTCTTGCTGATATTGGGGCATCAGCGCAAGTGTGAAACAACCCAAAACAATGCGTGTCCACGTAGAATCGTTTTCAATCGGGTTCAATTCATCACTTCATTCATTACTAGTGGTATCGACAAGTAAACAAAAAAAGTGACTCATGCAAGCATTTTACGTGACTCATGGATAACGTGTGACTCATGCTTGCAGGGGCGTCCGTCATCCGAATGATGAGCCACTTCCTGACCGAGAAAATATTCAAAAAGGGAGTGAGCGATTACCTCAAGGCATTCCAATACGACAACGCCGTCCAAGACGACCTCTGGCAGTACTTGGAATGGGCGGTTGGGAACGCGACCAAGCCGGCCCTCCCTACCCTGTCGGCCCTCCCGGGAACGGTGAAGGATATCATGGATTCTTGGACTCTCTTCACCGGGTATCCCGTCGTGAACGCCACGAGGGAAGGCCAAACGGTCACCTTCCAACAGGTCAGTGATGATCGACGTTTCCAAGTCCTGGTGAAAACGGGACGAGCGTTAACAAGGCGTAGATGAGGAGGAAATCCTCTGCCTTTTTTTCGGTAGTTTGATGGCTGTCATTGAATGAAGTGAGGGCTTCGTATCTGGAAGATTCCAAGTCGAAAGACCGTAAATACAGGGTGTTTCGAAAGTCCGGACTCGTAAGCAGATTTCCTAATTGACCTTTATTTCATTAAATGTTCAAATTGCATGCCATGAACTTGCATACACATATCAATCCTGGCACATAACCCCCTCTGAATATTTATTAGTAATTCTGTACCAATTTTGGTGCACTCATTCATTGAGAAATTTAATTTATCCAAAATGCCCATGAGTGCGGACTTTCGAAACACCCTGTAGATGGGCTATCTAGAACTCGCGAATTACGGCCTTTTTGGCGTTTATGGTCGCCATAATCAATACCATAAAGCAAGGCCATGACTCTCCATTATCGATGTTGGCCCAAAGGAGGACTCGAAGTCTTGTGTCAGTCGTGATTATATGGGATCGTCCGATGAATTGAGGAACCACAATCTCACCATTCCAACAGTAATTCTTTCGAACAATCGTGTGTGCTGAAAAAAAAAGCAATTTCGATGGTGGCGAAGAAAAACGAAAACCGATCGTCATTATTTGTCCATATTACTGCTGTACACCACGATTGTTCGGGGTAGAGTGAGCAGTCGAGTAGTTAACATGGGCAAACAGCAAATAAATGTTTGTCTGTAGCGCATCTGAGTCCATCAACAGCTAGTCAAGCAATTTAACCGAAAACTAGGCGCATTGGCTTCACGCGCGTGAAATTAATATTTTTAGAGCGTCTCATATTTCCAACAGAATAGCAATCACGCCGAGTGCTAACTTTTCGTGAAATCACGTGAAACCGGCCTTTCACGTTTCCCGAGTCTCATATACATACGAGTACAAATCATATCACCAGGTACAAATCTGCCTTTCCCCTTACCCACATAGCTCGTACCACTGGAATTATCTTCTTCGCAGCATCATAGCCATCCAAATTTACAAAAAAATATTATCTGGCATAAGTACGTCATAGGACTATATATCAAAATTCCAGGCAATTATGTAATTTTCTCCCCTGTTCGCGCTTCCGCGTGGGAGATGGGAAGAAAGCATTACGTGAAGGATGCCAGATACGATATTTCGCGCGTACGCACGGCAGCCATGTCTATGCGGCCACGATCAGTTCCTCTCTCCTATTGTCTACTATGGATCTCTCATCTGCGAGGTCTGAAAGGCAAGTGGAAGTTTCAGTCGTAGACTGGCACCCTTACCCAGACGGAAAGCTGCGCATGCGCACTGTGTCGAGTTGCTTGGTTGCTGCGGATGCTGCAGAGAGACGATGGAAATAAAGGGACAGACCGGTGCAATATCCGCCGTTTTCGCCTTGTAACTATTGAAATGACAGAAATAAATAATAAATATGCTAACGTTCATCTTGCGTTGATGGAAGTCGCCCATATTAGGCCCAAAGACACGGTCAAAGCAATGGGTAACCGCAACATGAAATTAAAACGCCATGGTCGACGGGAAAGCAGCATATGGAACTTGCCCTTCGATCCCGTTCAGCGTGATGGACCGGATAATCCACAAAACACCGCACAGCTCCTTCCCCAGGCATTCCTGAATATTAATTTGTAAATATGAGATGCCCTAAACAAGAACTTGTGAATATTACAAAAAATGTAATACTGTGCTTCCTTAAATTCCGATTCCACAAATACAACTGGGAGCATGGAAACATTCCTATGATAGAACTGGCACCAACTCATGAGCAACATCGATAACTAAACATCAGTAATTAATAGAACTTTTCGTGTGCCCTTCCTCAACTCGAGTACTGCGAGGGAATTTGAACGACTGCCAATATTCCTCCGGTAATCATACGCATAGATTCACGTGAAGCTATGCGATCACAAGAAGGCGGAGGCTCATATACGGTAGGTGGCTCAAAAATAATTAATAATAAGTTATATATCAGCAAAGAAGAGAGAATAATGGGCAAATTTAAACTGTTCGCCAACGATGAACCTGGCGAAATTGTCAGACATGCCATCTGAAGTTACGGGATAGTTTTAACATAGGTCTGACCCAAACTGCCTCAAGCCAGATCGATGGAGCGAAACGAAACACGAATCCGATGGAGCCCACTCATTCTCGACTGGAGAGAACGTGTTGAAATGCTAAGTGCCCGAATTTTCCCGAACCGAACAGAAACGATTCCTGCTGAACCCGGGGGCTTCGGAGAAACTCACCACGCTCTGGTACATCCCCCTCAACGTGATCGGCTCGAGCAACTCCACCGACGACTTCGACTCCACGGGAGCCATGGCCTGGCTGGAGAAGACTGGAGAATCGGTCGCCCTCGGCCTCCCCTCCGAGGATGAGGACTGGTACCTGGTGAACCTCCAGCAGACGGGCTACTACCGAGTCAACTACGACGACGGCAACTGGGAGGCGCTTCGGGCTGCCCTTGCGGCAGACCACACGGTGATACCCACCATCAACAGGTACTTTATTCATTTCATTATAATATAAATATGGTCATCACGAAGCGCGTCATGGAAATAATCACACTGCAGAATCGGTCCCCGCCGAAATTCCCACAGTTCACGATCATGCGTGAACTCCGAATCCTTCTATCTCTCGTCCTTACTAAGTTCTCCACATTTAATCGATTTTGATGGAAAATTTGGAGGCAGGCAAATTTGTGTTGAGGAACCAATTGTACTTCGTCTGCTCGCAAAACCGCTCTAGAGGAAGAGCCGTCAAAATCGAGTTTGAACTTTTAGGTGTCCTTTGATTCGTCTCATTACGGGGGTGGGTCCCATTCAGTGCAGGATGTTTCATCCGGTACTACGAGCACTACTATGTACAGTACTACTACGAACAGCATTGGGAACGTACTAAATGTCGAAAACACAGTCCGTTAAGCAAAAGTGCTGACATGACGCAAGTGTCTGGGCTTTAGGTCTGTTATCACCTCTTCAGAAAGACTTGCGGGCTACTGTTTCAAGGGGAGAATTGCAATGCCTCCGGAAACAGACGATGCCCTATTTCTGAAACGTACAATCCCTGGACACGAGAGCTGGATGCATTCGTATACATACTTCCGGGTCTACCTATCACAGGGCAACGATACTTTCCCCTTTTGCGGGAGAAATCCCTGCTTGAAAGAAGAAAACCCCCCAGCGGATGAGAGTTCTCCTCCAACGCGACGACGCTCGCCCGCACGCTGCCAGCATCGCGACGGCCACCGCCAGGAAGCTGAGCTGCGATTTAGCGCCGCATCCCCCCTTACAACCGGGATTGCCCCTCCAGCGACCGCTTTTTCGCTCCGAGACTCGAGGAACTCCTCCTTGGTCGCAGGTTTAGGCGAAATTGCGACTCGGGATCCTCCAGTTTCCAGCATCTCAAACAGTTCTAAAAATAAATCTGGCGCCTTTCGGAAGCTCAGTCAAATAAGGACCTGCGCGCAGCATTAAATTATGCCTATGTGGAGAAGTGTTTCTACAATTTAAAGGCCCCCATATATGCAAGAACCATCTGAGGGCGAAAAAAAAACCTTATGATAGATTTTTAGATTTTTACCAATGAATTTCCCTCAAGTTGCTCCGGTTTCCGTTATTAGTTCTGAGATGGCACTAATGAGAAGTGCCAAATGCCAGATCCGAGTTACTCTGAAGAAACCAGGGAGTTTTCTCTTCCGCTCAGAAGACGATTCGGAAAGACATTTCCTCTTGAAAAAGAACGAAATTACCTTAAGAGGAATGTTTAAGGATCGAGTGGAACAAATCTCGATTTCGACCCGAGTCTCAGTAACTGCTGATCTGACGATGATTAAGGTTTGAATTTTGGTGTGGCTTCAAATATATTACGATCAGACGGAAAAACATGAATCGCTCGCCTCGATATCGTCGAGCATCTCGCTGATCCGAACTGTGTCGATCGCGTCGCAAGGAACGCGTCACCGTTCGACGACCACGAATAAATATCTTCCTCTGCAACTTCGAAATCAGCGAATAACGCGGACGGGGTGTCTCCGACGAACAGGGCGGGGCTCCTGGACGACGCCCTGAGCCTGGCCCGGGCGGGGCTCCTGGACTACCGCGTCGCCCTCAACCTCACCGGATACCTGGGCAGCGAGAAGGCTTACATCCCGTGGGCCGCGACCATCAGGAACTTCAACTACATCCGAGGCATGATCGAGACCACGGGGACGTACGACCATTATAAGGTGCATTACACATTTTAATTTCTGCGTCAACGTTTTCGACCGCATCGTGCATGTAATCGCGTGCGCAGGCTTACATCCTGAGCCTGCTAAGGCATGTAATGACGCCGGGATTCAACTTCCCGACTCTGGAAGAAGTGCCCAAGGATGGAAATTATACGGACGTGACCGGCGTGATGTACGAGACCCTCATTTGGACGACGGCTTGCGAGATGGGAGAAGAGTCATGCGTCGACGTCACCGCCGACCTTTTCAAGAAATGGAAGGACAACTACGACGAAAGTAAACCGGACGAACCAACGTGAGTTCCTATATTCAGCAAAAACGGTAGTCTTTTTCCATATAGAACGCTTGATTTGGCCGAGGAATAATAAAATGTAAGGTACATTAACTGAAGGGCTTTGTGCAAGGCAGTGCGAATGCAAATTTGTAATCAAATTTTTCATTATTACTAACGACCTCTGTATTTAGCCTGTCTTATTTCAAATGCAACTGAGAAAGGTTCCATTATTACAAATGAGACAGGAGAAATCGATCCTCTTCAGCAAAAGATTGCCTGTTGCGGTCAAATGTTGAAATAATTATGGGGAGTGGTAAAATCTGCCACATGTCGAAATCGGTTTAGGAGTTAATCTACCAGGACAAAGAGCAAGTTCGGTTGCATGGATTGTCTGAAGAGGATCTGCAAAAGCTAGGTTGAAAATGCGCTCTAACAATTCTCAGGAGGAGTTGAGCAGTATGAAACGGGACGAAACGTCTTGGAATTCCGAGGAGAGGCCCCAGAGGGGGCGGGATTCGACACGAGGGGGAGCGATACCGCGATCCGCGCCCGTTTCCGAGGAGCACGAAACGATGAATGGGCCTGCCTGTTGCTTCAAGGGTTCGGAAGATTGAATAACAACATCCCCTTTAACGCTTTATTGTACGAAGCGGAGAAATTTGTAGGGGAAAGGAGTTTGGTTGCGAGAGTGGGAAGGGGGGGGGGGGGTAAAGACTTCCATCTGCTGCACTATACTAAGGAAACATTAGGACGTCTTTATGTTAAAAACATATTCTAATTTCTTTGCGCGCGGACGCAGCCGAATCCAGAGATTTAAATGTATGATGTTCGAATTCTTCCGTTTTCCAGCCTGAACCCGAGCATGAAGGCCTTGGTGTATTGTCAAGGCGTCCGGGAGGGCGGAGAGGACGCATGGGAATTCATCTACAAGCATTACAACTTGACGAACTATGCCTCCGAGAGGACGCTCGTCCTCCAAGCCATGGCTTGCACCAACATCTCCAAGCTACTCGATAGGTTTGTTCATCAGGCGATAATAAAAAAATAAAAGTACAGTAATTCTTACTTTAAGTAAAGGGTAAGCTTCGTAGTTCTCGTGATAGTAGCATGTGCGAGTCGCCGCTTCACTTGCAGTGCTTATTTTCCCCTTAACATATTGGCTTCTTTTATCACGAATAATGAGAGTAACTTTGCTCAACACATGGGACTGGATGACATTTCTGAGGAAGGGCGGAGGTACGAAAGAAGGAAATTTATTTCTTGTCTGGTTCAATTTATGCGATATAAAAAAAGATGAAGGAAAATGCATCAATAAATGTTTTAAAAAATGCAAGCTAACAATATTCTCACATTGAATTTTTCTTTCGATAAAGCAAGAGCGAAATAGCGAACCAAAATCAAAACCAAGGAAAGCATAAGTCCTCATAGCACTTTCGAGCCCGCGGAAACCCTTCCATCCAGCCGACGAAAAAACAACGAATGTTCCCCTTCCGTGCGAAAGGTACCTGGACCTGCTGCTGGGGGAGGGCGGAGCGATCCAGAGACAGGACGTGTCGCGGGCCTTCGCCTACATCGCGGCCAATCCCCACGGGCGCCTCGACGCCTTCAAGTTCGTCAGGGACAACTGGGATTACCTCCAGGCAACGTAAGCGCATTCATTCATTCAGACTTTATTTTCATTCATTCCATTCATGCTTTTTTGCGGAGAAACAACCCTTGGAAGGAGGCGGAAGTATCAGTATTTCTCTGACCGAAAAAAAAAAAGCTCATGAAGTATTTGGTCTCCTTGCAAACGTAAAACTGCTTTCGAAATAATATTTCCGCAGCGTGAAATCCTCGTTGGTTAAACGGAAGGTGCGAGAACCATCCATTTACTTCACTTTAACTGAAAACTGAGAACTTTAACTGTTCCTCTTAGACGCACTTCGGCACTTTGCTTAATGGTTTAACTTGACCAATCAACGATTTTCTTGATATGTTGATATTATCAAGCAGCAAGATAAAGGAATAGAGAAAGAACGAATGGAGACCTCAACAGCATTTAAATTTTTTTTACGAAATCCAGACGAGGCCTGTCCAGCAGTTTCTAGTCCCAGATTCAATTTTGAAGAACGAGACGTCTTCGTGTAAAATGCCAATGAACATTTCCTTCGTGTCCCACGTGACAGGTTTGGGGTGGGGACCGCTGCCTTTGGCAGGTTCATCACTCCGTTCAGCTCCTTCAACACCGAGACTGAGCTCGCGCTCGTAAGTCCGATTCTGCTTGGGTCATTTTGCTCCAACTATTTTGGCATTTGATGGATGTTGTTGAAGCAAACGAGATCGGCTTGGAAAAAAGGGGATGCCAGTTTGTCGCGAAATCGTTCGATTTCGAGGAATAATGATTCCAAATCTCGCAACCTGTAACAAATCATGACTTTTGGAGTGGGTTGTTGACAATGAGGATCGAAGTGAAAACCAGAAATTACGTAACAAGAAATTTAGGAAGAATACCCTGCCCTGAATTAACCTGCATGGATTCCATATCATAACTTGTGAGGAACGCAGTATTAACAGGATAGGAGTTCACTAAGATCAGATAGGACTTTTCTTCCCTTCACTTTATCATGCCAAGCGACTGTCGCCAGCAGGCGAGCCCCATATTGTCAAGAGAGAATCTGCCACAATGTGGGGCAAGCCCCGGGAATGGGGTCCCTATTTCAGACTGTGATGAGTGGTAATGAAGCGTGCCAATACCAAGAAAATGCCCCTTTATATGATTGTCGTCTTACGTCCGTCCTCGTCCTCGCGCTCGCGTCGCGTCTATCGAGAGAAAGCCGATGGATGCCACGTCCGCCACGTGAGTCCAAGGGAAGGGTCCATCTCTCGCCTCCCTGGACGAACTGCGGTCGAATCGCGATCGAATCGCGGCACGCGACTGGGGGCTTTAACTCTCTTCTCCCTTCGCGTTTCCAAGCTGGAATTCCTGAAGGACGCTCACTCGAACGAGCTGGGCTCGGCGGAGAGGGCCATGGAGCAGACCATCGAATCCGTGCAGATCAACATCAGGTGGATCGGCGACAACATCGACGTCGTCACGGATTGGCTCAAAATGAAGAATTCCGTGGAAGTCTTGTGATCAACCTTTTTGTGATCTTTAGTAAATCTACGCATTCCACTCGTTCGAAATTCAACGGAACGATTGAGCTGATTTGAAGTAAATAGACCCGATAATGAAAATAAAATGGCGTTGAATGTTGCCTTGTACTCCTGGATGGCACTTCGTGTTTTAATTTGCAATTTACGGTGAATTTACGTGCGTTTCCTAAAGGCAAAGCGTGAATATGTCGTGTGGAGGGCCTCAAAAGTGGACTTTTAACGTTAACTTTAAGCCGAAAGAAAAGAAAGACAATTTAGCACGAGCGGTTAATCGGAGGCAAAGCAGGAGCCGTCCCCCCACGTTCGTCCCTCAGCCTTCGCAGCTATTTGTCGTATGAGTAAATTCGAATAACCCCCAGAAAAACAATGGAGGGCTATGCGGGCCCAACCCTGTCATGGGCAGAACCCATGCAGGGCCGCGAACAAAATAATGTCCCGCGGGAGCCACAAAGCTCTATTAAAGTTATATTCGAATTTACTCATACGACAAATAGCTGCGAAGGCTGAGGGACGAACGTGGGGGGACGGCTCCTGCTTTCAGAGAGATTTTTGATGGGCGCTCATAGCGAGAGAGCTAATGTGGAGGAACCGAAATTCTTTGGGCGCCTGTTATTCGTTTCCCCTCTCGCTCATCGATTTCTTTCGAAAAATTGAACGAGGTGAAAACGAAGGTAAAAGTAAAATGGCTGAAACATTCGTCCTATTTATTCCTTACGTGCATATTCCATTAACGACCATATCTCCCCCTAACGTCATCTCCATAATTAAAACCAACGAATCAAGGGTGAAAAAATATGCCAGCAGAACCAATTCTGTAAATTATACACATTTCGACTACACATTTCAACGTTTCCTCATCACAACCTTAGCTCGTGGTTGTGTCGAGTATGGGAAATGTGCAGATGAAGTACCGTGAAAACCAATTTTCAATGACTTCCCCTTTCTTCGCCCCCCCCCCCCCCATGGCCTCTCTACGGGACTCACTAACGTTAAGCCTAGGTCTAACCAACAGACTGCTTTAAGATCACGCCAAGGACTACCTTATTCTTTTCAAAAGAAACCCAAGGGCCTGAAAGTGACCGTTGGGTACTCATCGCGGGCTGGATATCAGGGGAAGCAAGGCAATCTTGAATGGGATGGCAATGCCAAAGGAGGTGGTGTAACCCTGCTTAATGGGTTACGTCTATCTCTTCTCCAACAGAGGAGGGAGACTGCCCAAAAACTTATCTCGGTAACTCTTGACATTTTCAAGAAATATTTCCAGATGCAGATTGTTTCAGGCTTCACTGCTGATACGAGAGGAATGGCGGGAACAAGGCAGACGTCTCTTTCCATTTAAGCAAAATTGCTCGTGTCTCGGTCATCCCCAGAGCCCAAATTCCTTTTCTCCCGACTTCGGTTAGTTCTGGGCTCCTATATGGGCTGCTCATCAATCTAATGAAGCGCTTCTGTTCCGAATGGGCAATGCGATGAACAGAGGATCGTCAAGGAGTAGTTATGCTCGCAATGGGCGATTCAAATTTCCACCTATTAGACGGCCAGCGTAGCGGCCGCAGGCCGCTAGTGAATTATTAAAGAAGAACCTACAGATTTTCCGAAACAATTTCATACGAGTCTTGGGTTGGAATAGGTAGATAAGGAATTGTGGAATTAAAGATTTTTAGATCTTGACTCTTCATGTGTAGGTAATTTTTGCCGGGAAAAAAAACTGAAAGCAGCCAAAGTTCTCGGCAGTGGTGAAACCTCTTGTTTCTCCCTCTTGCCGAGCTCGGGGAAACGAACTAGACCATCGCGATGTTCTCAAGCCTTTATTTCCTTTATTTGTACCCTTTATTTCAGAAGGGCGACCGGGGAGAAAACAAATCCATTCGGCGCAACAACGTTGCGTCAGCATTGAGAAACGGTCGAAACGCTCAGACTTGGTTGAAGCTGAATATTTGACGGAGAATGAGCTTCGATGAAATGCTACCCCATTCGTAATTAACCGTTTCTTCGGCATTCGGTGACAGCTCCGTGAATTAGCGAAGTCGTTCAGATGCTATTAAGCGAAAATCGGTTTCCCATCAAAGTCTCAGCGATTCTTACCCTGGTGCCACGAAAGAAACAACATTTTCCTTGCAGAACCCGATCTCTTCCCACGTTCAACATAAGCGAAGGCTTAGGAATTTCCCGATAGACCTCTCTAAGAAGATCACTCGGCAGACAGGGACTGAAAGTACTTCTGGCCATTGGGTCCGATGAGACATGCACAATTTTCTTAAATCTCCACATGGCACATTCGATCGCTCGGGCCCTTTCATGTAAGTCACTCAGTTCGAGTTCTCATCCAGTAAAGGAAATAAACGTTGAGTGTCCTTTACGTGTGATGTTTGCACTGAATAGATTGCACTGCTCGTGTCGCACGACTTGGGTACCCTCCTTGGGATGATCGAATTCAAACTCATCTGCTAATTAACGCTCTTTCAGACTTCGGATAAGGGAAGAGGTACTATAATGCCGGTACGTTGGCAAATGAACATCGATACAACGTTACACAGCAGCAACTTTTCAACGTTGAGCTGTGCTTCACTTCAACCTTTTCTCAACATTGAGACGACATTGTTACATTTAAAAAATCAACATTTTCTCAACGTTGACACAACGTTGTCGCGCCGAATGGGAAGGAAAAAGGATTGCAGAAAGTCTGTTCATTTGCATCTCATCTGTGCCTCACGGTGCATCGAATCTGGTCGAGGTACTGAATCTGGTCGAGGTACTGAATCTGGTCTGGGTACTGCCAGCGTTCATGATCTGCGAATGGATCAAATGATCAAATGAAAGCATAAAAGCATAGGAATAATTAAAAACATTCCATATCTGGAATGCTGTTGGAAAGGAAGTTCCGTCTCTACTATACCTTGTTAAATGGTGATCGCCATTTTTTTTGAAAGAAGACATCTCGTGAAGGAAGCTAGAACTTACAGATTGAGCTTCTTGGGATTCCTTGCCCTCCAAGTCCAAATTGACGAATATGTCCACGTTCGAAGCTGGCGAGAGGTTGTCCGTTCGCTTCCAAACATTTACACCACTTGCTGTTTAGAAATATTCATTGAAACATAGTCAAATAGATTAATGATATATCCATGGAGGAAAAGCACGCACCAACGAAGTCCCGGTACAGCCGAAGTACGCTTTGGACTCGCTCATCGATGCTGGCTCTGACGGTTTGTGCAGGCGGGAGTGGATATGGTCCATGAGTCTTCAAATAGAGGGCGTACGCCATCGCTCGAATCTAGGGGAGAAGGAGGACGATCGTTTATGCTGGGTGTTACGGGTCTTGCCTGTCTGGTTTGGCTAGCGTTACAGCTGGGAGGATCAGGGAGAAAAAGAAGGGGGAGGAGGCTTCCAGATTTTCTTCGTTGGAATGTCTAAATCCACTTTTCCCCCATTTTTTTTTAGGGAAGGGGAAATCGTTATTTGCAATAACTGAAAGACATACCTGAAGGTCCATTTCGGTGGACGGGACCAAGGACTCGTCCCCGACGAGACCGAACCGGTTGCAAGCGCCGAAGACGCGGCTCGCGTCGCCGGCCGGGCCGAGCCCCCGGTCGGAGTAGTACGCCTCCAGGATGCGGGAGAGATCCGTGAAGCTGCTCTCCGTCTCCGGGAACTTTCGCGCCAGTAACAGTCCTAAAGAGGAGAAAATTTTCGTACATTTTTATGTTTCGGGTTGGTATCGAGAGGTTCGTCTTTCTCGCGAGGAGGCACCGGTGAGAAAGAAATTGCTCACCTTGGCTGAGTTACATCTCCACTAGCACATGTTAACCGACGGAAACACGATCACGTATGGGGTAGAATGTCAATCGAGCTGTAACCTAGGTAGACCTAATCTGCTTCGTCTTAATCTTTGGACACCTGCAGTATATTGTTGCACTTTCAAAGGGCATGTGACCTCAACGACTCACTCGGCCTTGTTGACGAGCGAAAAGGCAAGAAACGCGAAACCGATGAACGCCAGAGCCGCTCACCGTCGATTCCTCCGTAGAGCTCGGCGTTGGTGGCATGGGAGACGCGCTCCATATCGTTGGCCAGGGCGTACTCCGTCGGATGGATCTTGGAACTGATGGTCCCCGTCATTTGCTGGGAACCTCCCCTCTGCGTGAAGGAGCTCCACGTGCCCGATGGGCCGATCGGATTTTGCGAGTCGGGCACCGTCGGGGTGGCGTCGTAAACAGCTGACTGTGCCAAGTTACCTACGGGCAGTTTTTTTTGTGTCAGATTAGCCCGTGCTGGGACGAGAGGCAATACGCCGATTTCTTTCCTTTAGAGAGAACGTTCGATTGATTTCACTTTCCGTTGCTTTACGGCATCCTCGGATTCGCATAAGATATATATTTCTGTCAAGAAATGGCCACTTGAGACATAATGTACTCTTGCCGGACCGTATCACATTTCCCGAGATTGCTGCTTTTAGCATCACGACAAATAAATGCGGGTAGGCTTTTCTTGCCAAAGTACACATGAGATACTCCAAATATTATTGCAGATTATGATAGTCGAACCTAATGCCATGGAAACAAAAAATGTAGATACATGATCCCAGATAAAAATGCTGTCCATTATATGGCGCTGTGGCACTAATACTACTGGGGAGTGCACCCCTCTCACTTATCAAAGGCGAGATAAATAGCGGAAAGTTTGCGAACCTGCGACGGTGGCAGCGTAGTAGTTGAAGATAACGGCACCCTTCAGCTCGGGATCGCGAGCGATGAAGTCGAAGATGCGAGGCTCGTCGTGGAAGAGGTCGGCCAGCTTCGCGTGGGCGGGGGCGCTGCCGAAGGCGAGACCCATCAGGACCTCCCCCGCGGCCACCGCCCCGTACTCCGTGTAGACCACGCCGCATTCCGGCGGGTGGAGGCTCGTCTCGTAGTCTGGGATCCCGTGGCGAGTCTTTCGCTCGCTGCGGTTTTGTTGCCTGTGCAGTTCGTCCTCCTGGCGCTTTTTCTGGCTGCAAAGACATGAGTCTAATGCCTTTCTACTGTGAGGGATTTCGCGTGTTTCAGCCTATCACATTGAGTGCAGAGGTGAACGGCAATATAAATATGAATGGATGGGTTCAGTCAGCAACGTCCTCATCGGAATTCAGGGTAAAACTGAAATTTCACTCACTCTGCCGGCAAATCCCCTTTCACGATATTGAATTTTCTCTTTCGAATCTCTCTCGAGAGCAATTATGAAACTCACTGCCTTCGTCGCCGAGGGGGTCTGACGTTTTGACCTTGGCCCTTAATATCGTTTTCGTTTTCGCCGCCGTCGACATTTTTGCTCGTATGACCGAAGGGAACTCCACTCTCTCCCCATCGCCTCGTGCCGTTCAGGTTGTACGAGAGCATCCAGTGCAGGGAACACTGCGAGAAGAAACGAGTTTTGGCTTTCATATGTTTCATGATGTCCGTGGAAGGTGGGGGGGGGGAGGCGGGGTTTACGTTCAGAAAGTAATATTTCCGTGTGGCGTTAAGAAAGGAATGAAATAGAATCTACAATAGTCGATTATACCGAAATAGGCAATACAAGGTTTCATGTACGTGTCGCTTGTGGAACTCACGCTGATCGGGACCGAAAATTGCCCAAAGTGAGACCTCTTATCCATAATCTGTATATTATATACATGTATCTGTAAATCATAGATAGTGCCCATTTCTCTTCATGGAATACAATATTCGCAAATAATGCCAGTCGGCGAGTTACTCGTTGTTCGCCCTCCACTGGGCCACTTTCACCCATTTGCATCGACGTCACAAATCTCGAAATTTCGACCTTGAGAATATTTGTTTCTGACAGACTCGATTGCAGCGACGAATGCTAGCGAAACTCAAGCAGGACCAAGGGAAAATATTTCGGTGAGCTAGAGCTAAATGTAGGGCTCGTCCGTACTCCGAGATAAAAGAATATCAAGGCCGGAAACCTGCCGGTTGAAAGAGAATCCGGTCGATAAAATCTCCCCGACTAATGAAAGGGATTTCCCGACGATTCATTCGTTGGCCCAGCCATTGACTCACGTTTTTCGCACAATAGTGAACACACATTGATGCATTTTCTTGGGTTTGCGTGGGAACAGATATACATTTATTGCAAATGACTCCATTTCAGGAGGCCATTCTTGGTTATCAATGGTTGCGCTTTACCTTTTCCTCGAGAGTGAGCGAATCTTCGGGAAATTCCTCTGCCCTGCCGATGTTCGAAATTTTCCAAAGCAGGTCCAGCTTCATCTTTTCCATTGACTCTGGCTAGATTCATTCCAAAGAGAGAACAAATGAAATAATTAGGTTAAGATATTCTTTGAAGGCGGTACCATTTTTTTTTCTTCAAAACAGGGTATATGCACGGATGTAGTTATTATTCGTTAGACAAATGCGGGTGATTCCAGTTGTGTTTTATTATAAATTTTACGGATTTAAAGTATTTGAAATGGATTTCCGACAAATGTAAAAATGTGAAAATGATTTATCTGTTACGGACTCACGCTGATGTGCCCTCCAAGATTCTCGGGAAGGAACTGCAATCCATCGATCCGAAACCTAGGAAAGTATTTTCTAATGCATATTTAATGGTATTGGGATGACGGAAATCCTCCGATTTTTTTCCACTCATATTTAATTTGATTTTTAGTTGTAGTCCTCGAGCGATACTCCACCTTCTGAGTAGGTTGGCCGCCATGGTGTGGACGTCCCAATACTTTCCCGTTGGGTGTTGTTCCACCTTCTTGATGAGGCCGATGAGGTTGTCCATGGTCGTCGGCTTTCGCCGGAATCGGTCCCGGATGGTCCGGTTGTGGTAGCATTGGTCCAACATGTCCTCCTTCCAACTAATCGACCGAGCCTGTACGTAACTCATGGACAACAGTCCTAAAGGACACAATTAGACTATGTTTAAGGTGTGGCAGACGAACCAGAAGAAAAAAAACACAAATTAAGTCTCTGTGAGAAAAAACACGAAACGCAGAAAGCATAAGTCAGATCTTCGCTGGAGAGAAACCACTCTGAAATAATTAACATATTAACAGCGCGAGAAGACGTAACTCACCAAGGATGACAGCACTGGACGGAATCACAAAATGCCGGAGCCGCATCGTATATCCCGGCACTCGAAGCAGATCCAAGAAGGGAGATTGCAGAGAGTAGAGAACGGAGAGATGTAACAGGCTTTTATATAAGTGGCGTTACGAAAGTAACCGTAAAGCAGAATCTCATTCACTAAGATAAGCCATTCAGAAAAACGCAAATGGAACTCTGATAGGAAGGTATGCGTCATTTCCCTTGCATCTCCATGCCGATGAGAAACGGATGTCGATAGCGTGTGATGTCACGAGTCGGGCAACATCACGTCTGGAAGCATGACAGTCCATGACGAAGCAGAAATTTGTAAAGAAGGTGCTGCATTTTTTTTCAGTCTCAGGTTTTTGTTGCGAATTTTGCTCATTGAAGCATGCACGCGTGCAACTTTGTTTGCAAGTTAGTGTTTCTTTTAAAGGACACTGGGAAAATGGATTCCCGACTGGAAAGGCTTCGCCGGCGCAGGCGGTCCTTCTGTCCGTTGGCAACGTTCACTCCCTGGACGGCAATGAGGAGGGGAAAGGGGAAGGCCAATTGCGGCCGCTTGTCGGTTTCTAAGCTTGGGTCATTCCCGGGTTTCACCAGAGGGCATCATTGCGTTGGTAATTTTTTTTCCCAGGGAGAACGTGTTATCTGTCGGTACCCGATGCTGTTATCTCACAACGTCCTTTCCATTCAAACAGACACAATTATTTATCAACCCCCTTGAACTTTCTGCATTCTCTCTTCTAGCTTCAAGTTTTTAGTTTCTTCAAGTTTCAGTAACACCTTTCCTCTCTGGTGTGGAATTTGGGACAGCATTCCTCGAGAACCGTTGAAGTCAAGGCACCCGAATTTAAAGATTTCCCATAACTCTTAGAGGACGTTGTGCACGATGATGAGGAAATGATGGGTCGAGATCCATGATCCTCAAATTAGGCTGACTTTCTCAGTCGCTCGGTCAAACTCGATCGCTTGATCTGCCTTCATCCTGATTTCTCTGAGATTAGTTATTTAGGGTATATAGCAAAAACTCAAAGCCTCAAACCTCAAACCTCACGCAAAAACTCAAAGCCTCAAACCTCAAACCTGAAGCAAAAACTCAAAAGCACTGGTGAAAAAGTCAAACTCACGAGAGTGCAGGTGATTGAGTTCTTTGAGAGAATACGTGGCATAGGTCTTGTGGACCGAAGGCAGGGGGAAGATTGCAATGCAGGAAGAAAGACGAAAGAGCGTTCTGTTGGATATGCTATACTAGCGAGTTTCTCTGCCCCTTTCGGGGAAAAAAAAATGCATGGAGAAATTGAGTATTGTGATTGTGATGACAAGAAATTATCGGACATTCCTCGACGGTCGTCGATTGCGCAATCTCGCCGAGCAATGTCTGAAGACTGGAGTCTTCATACAGTGGGAGCGTGCCCCGAGCCTCGAGAATCTTCATCACCCTCGACGCGGTTCGATCGTCTCTGGTAAGAGCAGTCTTCAGAATTTCCCTGTCGGCCTTGTCGATCCCTGTCTCGCCGTTGAGAAGCCTCAATACGGCCGAGAATTCCCTGACGTCGTCGAGACCCAGGGTCTTCAGGCTTGCCCTCGTTTCGCGGTCACTGGAACGCCGTTTGTTTATCTCTCGGGCGATTCCGTCTGCTTCCCGAGGTGACAGCAGAACGGCCCACTTCGTTTTATTGGTATTGTTGTCCTCGATGAGCAGAATGTGTGTTACTGATCTGAAGGAGTTCTTGATGACGTCCTCGGAGTTTTCTCCATGGTTGTCCCCATCGATGACAGTCCCAAGAAAGTTGCTGGTTACAAGTACCGACTCGAGGCCGACCCTGTAGGGTAGACGAGGCACAGCGTCAAGAAGTCGTCGAGTGCAGACTCCTCTGATCCACCCATCGACTAGTTCCTCGAATCTATACATAAGGGTGAGAAGAAGAGATGAGCCGAGGTAGCACTCTTAAAGGAGGAGGAAAAGTAGGAGAAGGAGCAAGAGATGGTAGTAGAGCTCGAGCGTGAGGAGCCACAAGCTACTTCACGGCCAGTTCTCGTCGGTGAAATTCCGGTCGAACTGATCCTCGCGAGACTTCAGCATCAGTTGGAAGATCTTCTCTCCGGCTTCGCCCAGTCGCCCACCGTTCGGGTTCATTTTCTTCATCGTCCGGTCTCGGCAATTCTTCATGATTGTCCTCCACGGCTCCCCCTTTTGGCACTGTGGATCTTTGTACAGACCTCGAAGACTGTAGTCGTCCACCGTGGGCATCCGCCTTTGAGGCGAGAGCGGCAGAAGCAACCGCGTCTTTCTCTCAGGCACGACCTGGGTGACCCCTTTAGGAGAGACCTAACGCTGATGTAGCAACCGTTGGTCGGTTCTCTGGTTCAGCAGCTACCTTCCCAATCCACGTCGTCGTCTGTTCCCGATATCGCGAATGGAAGTGACTACTTCAGGAGGAAGCAATATGTAGAGTTTGGTGTTATCCATCCCCAGGCGGCGCATCCGGCCCACACCCTGCATTAGCTTAGACTTCTGCATCTTCGGTCCGACAGTGACGCAGGCCGTAGCATCTGGGCGGAATTTCATATCGGTTCCCCGAGAGCGAGCGTCGTCGATCAGTACTACAGATTCACTGGGTGTGAGCGGAGAATTGTCAAGGCAGCAATGTTCGCGCGACCGCCTGTCTACTGCCATCCAGTGTCTCTCATTAATGTCGAAGTAGATGACCCCCCTTTTCTCGAAGTTTAGCTGTCGAATAAGATAGTCTGCGGCGGCCTTGAGCCTGATTCCTGCCAGGAGAGATCCCGGATCGACGAGCACGTCAGCACCTAACCTGAGCACTTCTCTAAGTGCACTTCTTCCCTCGGCATTCCCTCCAAGATCTCGTGCCATCTCCAGATCATCATTTGTGGGACTGATCTTCTGAACGTGCGCGTAGAGTTTCAGGAATTTAAACATTCGTCCATTCGTCCCCCGAATTGCATCGGGAACCTTGTTGCCCTCGATCTGACGGACCTGAATCGGCAGAAGCATGTGGGTGTCGTTGGTACCCGAGA